CGAAGGGGTCAGTTCTGAGACCCTGGACACGTCGGAGGAACCTGAGGCTGCGGTCACCGAAGGGGCCAGTTCTGAGACCCTGGACACGTCGGAGGAACCTGAGGCTGCGGTCACCGAAGGGGCCAGTTCTGAGACCCTGGACACGTCGGAGGAACCTGAGGCTGCGGTCATCGAAGGGGCCAGTTCTGCTCCTGAAAAGTGAGCTCTGATATTTCTATTGTTCTTATGACGAACTTTGTTTCATCTTAACACATTTGATCACAAGAAATTGAATTAAAGAATTTAGCTACTCAGTAACATAATGTTGTTACATACTATACAGTTATACAAAACTTCACTAATATAGTCGTATCACATTTTTTTTTCTCAGTGATATATACATAGACATGTATTGTACCATGATGAATAATGAATTATTACTGTATGCATTTGGCATCATCCAAAAGGACAAAGATCACGCTGCACTGGGCTGTTACTCACCTCAGATTAACTGCAGGATAATGTCAGAGCTTGTTATGTCTGACTGAAACAGATTTTCTCTTTACATGTGCAGAGATGGTTCAGTGTGGAACATGGTTCTTTGTTTTATTCACAGGGATGATCAGCAAGAACAGGCAATGGCCAGCGGTCTTTCTGGAGAGATGGATCTGTCGTCCCTGTTTCAGGTATGATATCTTGGGGTTCTCCTGTTCATCTTGTAGATGAAGAACGCGTATGCTGATGTATTTGCACTCTGATCACTTACCCATTCTAAACCAATACTTCTGCACTCATCCACGTATAACTGTACACTCCACCCCTCACCAAGTACCATTCCCATGTCCCGTTACATTGCATTTATTTTTTATTTATTTAGCAGAAGCCTTTGTCCAAAGCAACAAATGAGTGAGGCAGACAGTACATTACAACCATATAGCCGTCAACTAGGTATGAATGCAGATAGGCTGAGCAATGACCAGTAAAAACGCAAGTTGACATCAGCGCAAGAAGCCAAAACACTGGTGCTGATGTTTTGACGGGTGGCTGCAATCTGAGGTGGTCTACCAGGCACACAGCCACCTGTCTGTCATCTGATTGGCCGACATGCACATGTCCCAGAAGTGCCGTTTTTACGATGTCATCAATGATCATTTGTTACTCATTTCTTACAGAAACTGGAGGACAGTGCAATGACTCTCCTGAGGGATGGGTTGCAAAAGTCTAAGCAGTATCTTACTGATGCTTGCCCAGCATCCTCTGAGTCCCCAGAGGAGGATGACAGCAGTTTGGATGATGAGGACCAGATGCAGGAGAGCTCTGCACGAGAAGGGATTCAGCTAATTACAATGCACATTCTGAGGAGCATGAACCAGAAAGACCTTGCCGATAGACTGGAGAAAAGTAAGTGATTTGTACTGCTCATCGTAAGGTGTTCAATATCTGTGAGTTGCCATTTTATTTCAGTACTTGCCGGATTAAAACCATAATTTGTATAGAAAATAAACCATGTTAATATTAGTGTTTTGTAGATAACTATTACTAGATGAGCAGCAGAAATAGTGTCTAGTGCAGGGCTCTTCAAATCTGGACCTCGATTCCAAATCCAGGCCTTGTTTTCAGTTCTCCCAGGTAGTTAGTTTAATAATTACTGATTCTGATTGGTCAGAGGCTTCACATCTGGCTCACAGGTAGAGGAAAGCTGGAAAACCAGCAGGACTCGGTCCTCGAGGATCGTGATTTTAATAACCCTGGCCTAGGGGCTTGCATCACATCATCATGTGACTCACTAACTAGTGTGCCTGCAGATAAAAGTTAATTTTATTCATATTCATAATGATGTTCATGAGTCTATTACTTGTTGTTAATGTCTAATTAGCATGATAGTAATTCGTTAGCCTTGAAGACCCTTTCTATAAGGCGTAATGCATTGTTACAATTTACCAAGTAATGCAAGTGTTAGTTTTCAGAACATTGATATAATTTTATCTTCTCAATTTGCCAGATGAACTGCAGGTGACATGTCAGCGAAAACTTAGACGCAATCTGAAGAGGAAGTTTGAATGTATATCTGAAGCGAAACCAAAACACGGAAATCCAACACCTTTAAACAAGTTTTACACGGAGCTCTACCTAACTGAGGGTGGGAAAGAAGGACTCCCCAGTGAGCAAGACAGAATAAGGCAGGATTCACAAGAGAGTGAGATTAAATGCAAGGACATTTTTAAACCTTTACCACAGCATGTGTCACGGATCAGAACCGTACTGACAAAAGGAGTTTCTGGTGTCGGGAAAACATCGTCTGTGCAAAAGTTCATTCTTGACTGGGCTGAAAAGAAAGAAAATCAAGATGTTCATCTCATATTTGACCTTTCATTCCGAGAACTGAACTTGATAGATGATAAGGAATGGAGTTTGACAGACCTCCTTCAGTATTTCTTTCCAGAAATCAAAGTATTTGGATCTGTTGATCTTAGCAGTTACAAAGTGCTGCTCATCTTTGATGGCCTGGATGAGTCTCACCTTCCATTAGATTTCCATAACAATAGAAACTGGTTTGATTTATCAGAACCGACATCATTGGATGTGCTGTTCACCAACCTCATTAAGGGGAACTTGCTTCCCTCGGCTCTCATCTGGATAACTTCCCGGCCAGCAATAGCCAATCACGTCCCTCCTGAGTTTGTCCATCGGGTGACAGAGATACAAGGGTTCACTGATCCTCAGAAGGAAGAGTACTTCACAAGAAGTTTTGGTGATCACAGAGTGGCCAGCAGAGTTATCTCACAGATGAAATCTCTCAGGAGCATCTACAGTATGTGCCACTTACCAGCTTTCTGCTGGGTTTCAGCTTCTGTTCTTGAGAGGCTGCTTAGTGACGCAGATAAAAGTGAGATCCCTAGAACTCTAACTCAGATGTACACACAGTTTTTGATTTTTCAGACTTCTGTAAGGAATCAGTCGTATTCCACAGAACAGTTGAGACCAGTCTCATTTTTTGAACCAGACAAAGAGTTTGTTTTGAAACTGGGGAATCTAGCTTTCCATCACCTCCAGAAAGGAAATGTAATATTTCACGAGGAGCACCTGAGAGAGTTTGGTATTGACTTCAATGAGGTTTCAGCATTTCCTGGAGTTTGCAAAGAAATCTTCAAAGAGGAGTTCGGGCTGTATCACGAAAAGGTATATAGCTTTGTACACTGGAGTATTCAAGAGTACCTCGCTGCTCTGTATGTGTTTCTGTCAAACGGAAACAAAAAGCCCATCTTTAGTGAGATGACTTCAGTGGATGCCGAAAACACAATGTCTCAGTTGATGAAGAATGCAGTGGATCAGTGTTTACAGAATAAAAAAGGACACTTGGACCTGTTCCTCCGCTTTCTGCTTGGTCTTTCAATGGACTATAGTCAAACTGTCCCGCAAGGCTTGTTGACACACATGAGATGTTCAGATAACATGGAGGAAACAGTCCAATACATTAAGAAGAAGATCAGGGAGAATCTCTGTCCGGAGAGGACTATCAATCTGTTCCATTGTCTGAATGAAATGAATGATAGTTCTCTGGTGGAGGAGGTCCAGACCTCCTTGATGTCAGGAAGACTTTCTGCACAACACCTTTCACCCACACATTGGTCAGCTCTGGTTTACCTGCTGCTGATGTCAGAAGAGACGCCAGATGTGTTTGACTTGAAGAAATACATAATGTCAGATGAAGGCCTTCTAAGGCTGCTTCCGGTCCTTGAGCCTTC